GTATGCAAAGAATTTTCCTCGGTAAAAAATAAGCTAAGAGAAAAACAGAAAATGAGAAATTGAATAATCAGATATAATATAAGAATTTACAAGGAGTCAGATTAAGCGAAAGAAATAACAACGAATGTACGATTTTTAAAGTAAATTTTGAAAAGGGGTCATTTGACCCCGCTTGGTACGTTTAGTGTTAACAGAAGAAATTGGAATGTACGATTTTAAAGTAAATTTTGAAAAGGGGCCATTTGACCCCGCTTGATACGTTTAGTGTTAAACTGAGGATGAATGTGTCAAGCTATTATTGGACTACAGATTTTTATAGGATATAAAACACATAGATAGTTTTAATTAATAACAATATTTATAATTGGAACATGTAATAGGTAAAAATAGTTCCCTAAGTAGGTTCCATTTTTAAATAAGATCCTCGTATAAGATGAATTTTATAAACATGCTGTAAGAATTAAGAAATACGTTTACTCATTTTGAATTTTGCAAAATAATTGAATATATCAACTTCTCGACATTTTTCCATCAATTTTGCTTTGTCGAATAATACGCCGAATCTGTACAAATGACACAACACGTGAAAAGATTTCATTTGTAATCCTTTCCAATCAATCTACATCACCAAATTCCAATTTTTGATATTAGAACAATGCAAAGAAGTTCTAAAGATTCGTTTAAGAACTTCTCATCCGGCACCTAGACTTCATGATTTTATAAAATTTCGGAAAATTGACGTAGTTATAGCATTACGATAAATTATTTCTTAATGCAAATTAATGCACGAATACGCAAGTAGCTCGCATCGATTCGAAACATAATAAATCAGCAATCCATCATGGTCAACGTCAATAAATTTCGTCTTGAATCGAGCATCGCGCGTTCCTCTCGTTTCTCTCATGGTTGCGTAGTACGGTAGACCATAAAATGGCACTGCGATACAGTTACTGTTAGCCTGTGCTCATCCGACGATATTCATGTCGATGCTCGTTACGATCTATCGTTCGCAAGCTAACTAACCTGGACGTGGATAGATATATCCGGAGCCTTTGCTAAACTTAAGAAAATCGTTAGTTCTCCGTATAACATAGGATCCAGGGAATTCCATAGCAAAAGTTAATGCTAATTGACAAGCGAGGACTTTTTATCGCGATGATTTGTTAACGGAATCGTTAACTGAGTCACTGGAATTCGACTTCATTTTCC